TTTGGAAATAAAGTCTTTGCAGGTGTAATTAGTTAAGAAGAGGACATACTGGAACGGGATGGGTCTCAAATCAAGTCTGATGGGCGTCATAATAGGGCAAGGGGAGCACAGACCCAGACCCAGGAGATGGCCATAGAAAAACACAGAAAGGGAGGAACACTGTCCTCCTGAAGCAGAGGTAGAGACCAGAGCGATGAGTCTACTAAGCGAGGTTGCCAAGCATCACCAGCAACCACCAGAATCTGGAAAAGGCTTGTAAGTACTCTCCTGTACAGCCTTCAGAGAGAGCTTGCCTATGCTCACAGCATGATTGCGGACTTCCAGGCTGCAGAGCTGTGGGGTAACACTTGCTTGTTGTTGTGCTTGCTTCGGCACAAAACTTGCTTGTTGTCTAAGCGACGCAGTTTGTGATACTTAGCCAATGAACGCATCTCCTCTCTGTGGTACAGAGAGAGTGGCAGTGTGGATCCCAGGCATAGTCCTGCTAAGGCAGACCCAGGGTCAATTCAAGGCAGAGAAGAACGGAGAGGACATCTATTTGCCCTGTAGGGGTTCTCTGCACCTCACGCGATTATTCCTTCAGTTAAGTGAAAGATTTCCATTTTGCAAATAAGCAAACTGAGGTGCAGAAAAGGCAAGCTATTTCCTCACAAGCTTGCTTTTCCCTTTCCACAGGCGTCACACACAGAGCCAGCCCGGCCCAGCTGAATCCCAGCAACAGGCTACTTGCTTCCCTTCTGAGCCTCATTTCCCTCAACCAGAAAATGTGATTCATGGTATCTGCCTGTCAGGTGGTTGTGAGAAGGAAATTCATTTTTTAATTCAACATGTTTTATGGATGTCTCCTCTGAGCCAGTCCTGCCACTTGGCCCTGGAGACACAGCAGTGACAGGTCCCCACTGTGCGGGCACTTTGGAAGTACTTAGTAGATCTCTTAGCAGAACCCAGAGGGACAAGAACGTAGGACTGAACAGGGCGGTGTGTGGGGCTGGCGTGGCTTGTAAGAAGGCGCACTTTGGCACTAATTCTTCCCTCCTTGTCAGTACTTGTACAGATCCCTGACCAGGGCAGACAGATTCCTGGAGGGCCTGGGGCCTATGTTCCTGGGCACCTGAAGTCACAGAACTGTGTGACCTAGGCAGGCTGTGGTGGCAGCCAAAGGGACTTTAGTTTTTCCCCAGGGCCCTGTGCAGCACTGTCCCCTCAGCCTTGCCTTCCCAGCTCAGCCCCACCCACTTCCTGACAATGTCCCTGCCTGGGCCAGGCCTGAGCCTGCCCTGGAGATGCTCCCAGCTGTCCTGATATCCCCTCTGGCTTCTGCAGACGTTCCTCTTTCTGCCCCTGAAGGTGTCCTCTGGGTAGGAGCCATTCCCTCCCTTCCAGAAGTGTCCCCAGACACAAACTCCTTTCTATTTCTTTTCCCTGACAACTATGGCATCTAATATCAAATGGGTAGTGCACAGCACAGGCAGAGTGGGATTCCTGAAAACTGAGTGGTGTAGGGGAGGACCCCCTGAAGCTTCCCAGGGGGCTAGGAATTGTCAATCTGGTTGGGTCTAGTTGGGCCCTAGCAAACCTCTTCTTCCTCTGCTTCTCTGAGCTTAGAAGCCACCCTCTCTGCTTCCATGGGGTGGGGTGGGAAATGAGGACCAGGGACACCAATAAAGCCTGCACACATGACAGCAATCTGTCCTAAAAGCTGACTACCAGGAGGGCTCTGGAAGCGATGGTGCGGGTACACAGCAGCTACGGCTGTCAGACCTCCTGTCCTCACTTGCCCCTGGTGAGCTGGGAGAGCTGGCATCAAGCACTGGGGACACGGGCTCTGGCGGGCCCAGACAGCTCAGCAGTGGCAGCAGCAGTGGCAGTAGGGGCTATTCTGAGAGCAAGGAGGAACCAGGAGCTGAGCCCTAGGAAGGAGAGCAGCAGGCAGGAGACACTCCCTGGGGGGCAGGGTCCCTATGGTCTGGGTGGCGTGTGCACTGAGAGAGGTGTGTGATTATTGTTGTGGGGTGGACCACTTGAGGTTCTGAGGACTCTGCTGAGGTTGTTTGGGCCTATGTGTAGCAGTGTTGTGATGTAATTCAAGAGAGTCAAACACACAAAGCAAGTGTGTGAGAGGGCAAGCTCAGGAAGGGATGGAAGCAAGCATGCCTGAGTGTGGAAGGAGCAGGAATGAAAGGGGGGGGCTGCTGGTGAGCACGAATGAATATGGGAGTGAGTGACACTGAGGGCACACATGCTGGGAGCTGGTGGGGGGAAGGGGAGGACAGCGCTGGTAGGAAAACCAGGGGAAGATGTGGGGTTGTGTAACAGGTATAAGAGTATAGCGTGAGTGGGGCCAGGAAGATGGCTCAGTGGAATAAGCACTTCCCTGGCAAGTGCAAGGGCCTGAGTTCAATCTCCGGTTCTGAAAAAAAAAAAAAAAGAAAAGAAAAAGAAAGAGTATAGGGTGCATGGCAAGTGTGCTTGTGAGAGAGACTCTGTGTGTGTGTGTGTGTGTGTGTGTGTGTGTGTGTGGTGACAGCAAGTGGGAGTATGTGAGTTGGAAAGAGTAGGAGAAGATACAAATAATCAACAGAAATATAAAAACGAATATTCACAGGGCACTTATTCCTAGCCTAGAGCTGACATTCAGAATCTTATTTCATTCTTCAGATGTTCTATGAAGGTAGTGCTATATAATCCTGCTGATAGAGTAGAAAGCCACGGCTTGGAGCGGCTAAGGACCTTGCCCATACTACTAATCACTGTTAGACTGCCCCGTGATGAATGCGTGAGTAGGGCCAAGTTGTGAGTGAAAACGTATGTCAGTGTGCACCAGGGGGTGTACTGAGTGTGTGTGTGGCCTGAGTGTGCCAGGCATGAGCCCCAGAGGAGAGGGCCAGAGCAGCTGTGGACACTGGGCAGGGCTAGGATTGAGCAGAGTCTGAGTCAGCATCTGGGGCATCTTTGCCAACCTGGCTTCCCAGCCCTGCAGTGGCAGCCTATGCCAGGGTCCCCAGCTAAGGATCCTCCCAGCCCTGCTATGGCCCCCAGCGAACTCCCATCTGATACTTAGAACTGGGCCAAGGGGTGGAGACTAGCAGGAGGCTTGCCTGGCCTCCAGGGTTCCTACAGGGGCAGCTCCCAGTGTGGGCTCCCCAGGCAGCAAGGGCATATGCTAGCTGTGGGAGGGGGTCCAGCAGTGATTTCAGATCCTTGTGGCTTTAAGCAGAACCACCTGGACAGTGTGTGTGTGTGTGTGTGTGTGTGTGTGTGTGTGTGTGTGTGTGTAGGGGTAACAGTTCCCATGCCCACCCCTGCCTTTGGGCTGTGACTCAAGCAGATGTCATGCCAGGCATCTGCAAGCAGGGCCTGCTCCCACCCTGGGGGGTGAGGAGGAGCCCCTCCAGCCTACCCCACCCTTACTCTTGGCCCTATTCCCCAGGTTCTAAGCTAGAAGGAAGGAATTTTTGAGGAAGGAGGGCTGTCCCCTGTGGCTGGGGCATAGTACTCCCACAGTGCAGAGAAAACTGCCTCTGTAGCCCCTCAGCAGGGAGTGAACTGGCAGGAAGATTAGGAACCTGGGATGCTGGTACTGGCCTTGCCATTTGGGTAAGTTTCCTCCCCACTGTGGCTTCAGTTTCCTGACTGTTAAAGCAGGAATACTGTACAAGGGACACAAAGTGCTGCAGTCAGGACCACAAGCTGTCTGGACAAGTAGGGAATAGAGCTATGTACGTGTAGGAGGTGAGGTTAGGGAAGCATCAGGCTAAAGTTGACAGGAGCTTAGTTTTGCAGAATAGGAGACATCTGCATGAGGACATGGAGGAAGGCAAAGAATGTTTTAGGCAGGGGGCACACCCTGAATGAAAGCTGGCAGCAGGCAGAGGTGTGGCTGGAAATGTAGCTTAGCACCCAGTGGGTAAAGTCCTGGACGGCCCGCCTGCAGCCAGCCTCGGCCTTAGGCAGTCATATGATGATCATCTGACTCTTCGTCTATGCAGGAGGGAGCTTTTCTGTCTGTCCCTGCTGCTGCTCTTCCCACAGTGCCCTGAGCAACACCAGGTGTATCAGAGGAGCTAAGAAAATATGTTAAATTAATGAGAAGCTTTTCCTTAAACACCCTGAACTTCAGGGTGAGTGCTTGTTCCCACAGCCTCTGTAAGAAGCTCCTCAGACTCTAAGACAGTGGTCTGGACAGTGTGGCCCCTTGGGCATCACCTGGGAACTAGCTAGAAATGCAAAATGTTGACCCCCACCTAGATCTGCCAAATCAGAAACTCAGGAATCAGGGCACACCAATCTATTTTAACAAGCTGTCCAGGATAGTTCTATTATAGGTTGAACGAACTTTGAGAACCAGAGCTCTAAAACTGCCCATAGGCACCAAAAAAGCACATGAAGACCCCATTTGCAGATGAAGAAACTAGGATTGTGGCAAAGCCTGGCCTAGAACCCAAGTATTCTCGAATTATTCCTTTCCACAGCCCAGGCTAGGGTACAAAGAAGGCTTAGATCCTCCATCCTAACAGGTTCCTGGAATGAAGTCTTGAGACCTCTGGGTCTAGAAACAGAGGGCGGGACATTCCTTTGGGGGGGCGATAGAAGGCGGGATCAGTGCTCTGAGCCCCGCCTCACTAGCGTTGCCCCGGGAAACCCCGGGTTGTAACAATAACCCGCTGACGCGCTTCTGGGAGGGATCCTGTCGAGCCTGTGGGCGGGACAGTCCTGCCTCGGACCAACGGGAATCCTTGAGCCCCGCCCCCAGGTTCTCCTCCCCCGGCGCCGAGCAGGGGGCGGGGTCGCGCCTGCCTCTTCTGCCCTACTCCGTAGGCGGCGCTGCAACTTACAGGGGGTGTGGCGGGGTCGCCCAGAGCTAGCAGCTCCACGCCCCCGCCCCAGCCCTTGGCGGGGCACCCCGGCTAGCCGAGGATTCCGCCCTCCCCACCGGGCCCGCCCCTCCCGCCCCCCGCCCATCCCGAGGTTCAGCCGGCGCTGAGCGCGGCAGGCGCGGGAGCTGGCGCTGGAGCCGGAGCGGCGGCGGCTGCGTTCACCCAGTGGCGGCTACGGCGGTGCGGGCCCGGGCACGGGCTCAGGCTCCGGCATGGTGCAACCCGGCCTTGTCCCGGGAGAGCAGGACCCGCGCGCAGAGCCGGCGCCCAGGGAGCAGTGGAGGTGGCGGTGGCTGCAGGCACAGGCAGGCGGCAGGTGCTAGAAGCCGGGCTGGGCGAGGTGTGTACCCGCCGGGCTCCCTGGCCGCCGCCCCCTCGCCGCCCGGGTCTTTTCCTGTCCTCTTGCTCCCCAGCTCGTCCAGCCTCCAGCCTCAGCGCCCCGGCCCATGGCGACCCGCGGCTGAACCGCGCCACCAGGGACCCCTCCCGCGGGCCTCCCGGGGCGTGCAGCTCCTGGAGCCGCCCGCCCACCCTCCGCAGAGCCACCCTTCCGTCCTCGCCCCAACCGGGCGGGACCATGGCCGCGAAGATACGAGCGCATCAGGTGGACGTGGACCCAGACTTCGCACCGCAGAGCCGGCCGCGCTCCTGTACCTGGCCCCTGCCGCAGCCCGACTTGGCCGGCGACGAGGACGGAGCGCTGGGCGCAGGGGTGGCAGAGAGCACCGAGGACTGCGGACCCGAGCGTCGGGTTACGGCCCCGGCGATGGCCCCCGCGCCGCCGTTGGGCGCGGAGGTCGGACCGCTGCGGAAAGCGAAGAGCTCCCGGCGGAACGCGTGGGGGAACCTGTCCTACGCCGACCTCATCACCAAAGCCATCGAGAGCGCCCCGGACAAGCGGCTCACGCTCTCGCAGATCTACGACTGGATGGTCCGCTACGTGCCCTACTTCAAGGATAAAGGCGACAGCAACAGCTCCGCTGGCTGGAAGGTGGGGGCGTCCGGCAAGGGGACAAGGGCTAGGATGCCGACTGGGGCTTCCTGGGCGTGCAAGCGGGAGGGGCTCCGGGGCACTCCAGGGGTCATGGAGTGCGCCCAGGGCTTAGGGGCGGTAGGTGGACAGGTGGGGGTGTGCTGGGAGCAGCTGTGTGCGTGATCCCTGGCCAGCAGGGATGGGGAGTGGGAGGTCTGGTGGGGTGACAAGGGACTGCCGCTTTGAGGCGTCCCCAGCAACATCTCCACCCTGTCCTTGGGGGCATCATGAGAAGCCCATTCCCAGGGCACCAACACTGGGGAGCCCCCTGCTCTCCTGAGTTTGCTTGTTATTGCACTTGTTTTACCCTCACCACCAAGGCATCCTTTAAAGAGCTGGACTTAAGACTTGGGGCCAGAGGCTGCTTTCCCTCCCAAATCTCCACTGCCTTTCACCAGCTGGTCCCAGGGGGAGGAGTGCCAACCACAGGCCCACAGTTCTTTTTGTGATGCCAGGAGTTCACCGTGGAGCACCAACAAGCCTAGGGTGTGGAGCTTGGCAGGTGACCAGAGCTGTAAGTTTATGGGGCAAATGGTGTTGGCCCCTTACCTGGCTCAGCATGGGGTGGGAGGTTAACCCCTGCTGGTGCCAGGGTATGGTGATGAGGGCTAGGAAATCTGTCCCTACTCATCCCAGGGAGCTTGTCTTTCACTTCCTTGGCTTTCAGGCCCAGAAGCATTTAGGGTTGGGGGAGGGGTGGGGTACCCATTGGAAGCCTCAGTGCCAGGCAGTGCAAAGGGGGGAGCCATCTTGGGAAAGGACAGGGGCAGGGGCTTGATTGATTGTGGCCCCCAGTCATAGTTCATCCTCTGGCCACCTTATTGGAGAATAGGGGTAGTCTGCACTGTTGGGGGCAGGGAGTAGAAGGGCCTTGTGCCTAAGAGGGGAGCTGCCAGGGTCCCTATGGAAGAGGGGCCCTTGTGAGGGAGGCATGCCTGTATCTAGGGAGGGGACTGCACCCTGTGGTGGCTGCCACCAGGGTCTCAAGAAGGAAATGTACTGTGTGGTGGAGTTAAGGGTGTGGATATGGATTGCTCCAGATGCCCATGGCAACATTGTCAGGATCAGAGTGTCCTGACCTGGAAGCTCAGGGCGCTGAGGCTTTGTGCTGGCAGCTTCTCTGCCTCTTGCAGGCCACTATGGGACAGGCATACAGGCCAGTGAAGTAGACATGAATCTCCTTCCCCACTCCCTCAGGCTCAACCCCCACATTGTGTCCAGCCCTTGGCCCAATTGTCCTGGTGCATCTTGTACTCCTCCCCAGAGTTCTTAAGGGCACAGAAGTCAGGTGCCTCCTCCAGGAAGCCCTCTCTAACCCTTTTAGTCACCTTAGGACTCCCCCTTCTTCCATCCTCTCCATACCTGCAGTGAATGTTAGTCATTTGGGTGTTAGTCCTATCTCATTTCCTCTTCCTAACTCACCTTTGGAAGACAGTGGCAGTATCAGGGCCCTTTTGTGCCCACAACAGCTGGCACAGAGCCTGGCAACAAGAAGCATGTGTAGTGAAAGAGAAGAGACAAGACGATGCTCAGAGGATTTGGAGTCTGTAGAGTACAGTGGGCCAGAAGGCCAGGAGGGCTTCCTGCAGGTGGTGGCATTCCAGCTGGGCTTGATGGATGAAAGAGGATGGGGAAGACAGAGAGAGGGGACTTGAAACTGGAAGCCAGGAGACAGCTGCAGTTTGTTGAGCATGTCAGGGCTGAGCTGTCTGCCAGGTAACCTGGCATCGTTAATGCTCTCGCAGCAGTTCTTGGGGTGGATTTCACTTTGTCCATTCACAGAGGAGGGCACTGAGAACCAAAGTGGAGGGGTGAGCTGTCTATGGCCTTATACTTAAAAGAGGGAAACCTGGATTCCAACCCAAGTGTCTCCTTCCAGGGTCCCACAGAGCCTTTGGAACAGGGCCTTGCTGACAGCTGTGGTGGGAGGGGGCCACGAAAGGCTTTTGAGCAGAAGCAGGTATGAATCCTAGACTGGGATGGGAGTGTGCTTGAAGATAATTTGGTACCATAAATTCATTACTCAGACTGGAAGACTGAGGCCTTAGAAGGTGATAAGACTCTCTGAGGGCAACAGTGAGCAGCAAGCCCTGGACAAGGGCCCTGGGCTCCTGCCTACCTGCTAGATGCAGTTCCCACTGCACCACACTGGTGGAGACACAACATACCTGGCTTCCAGTCCTGGGTTGGGGTGTTAGAGAAGCCTAGGGCTTGAGCTCTTGCCATAGGACCTTGTCAGAATTACCTTGGCGCCGGAGGGGATCTGCTCCATATTGTTCCTCCAGGGACTGTCCCTCTTTACTCCAGCCCTAGCTCCCTAGGTGGGGTGAGGAGACTTCCTTTTCTGTCCTTCCTGGAGCTGTTTGCCCCTGCACCACTTACCCCATCCCTAGTCAGTTCCTCCAGAAGCCTGCTGGAGGAGCCATCCTTAATTCTTAACCATCTCTGGTTAACAGGCTGCAGTACACCTCAGGTGCCAGGTGGGGCCAGGGCTCATTATTCCTTCCTCTCTCTGGTGCCCCACAGAAGTGTTGCACTTGAATCCCTGAGGTGGACCACGCCCTGTGTGCCATGGATGAGGGCACAGGAGAAGGCCTTGGTCCTGCTTTCAGGGCGCACCAGGATTCACAAAGTTCCCTCCTGCAACCCTTTGCTTCGCAGACAGGAAAGGCTAGGGGATGGGTAGGAGTAGGAGAAGGTGGTACTGTGGGGAGCTAGGTAGGTCCCCACTCCAGCCCTGAGGCAGTGGCACTTGATCTGGGCTATCTTCACTGAAGAGGAGAGAATTTGGGAGATAGTCTTCTAGGAAGTGTTGACTACATACCCAAATGCAAAGAGGTAGGATTGTGATGTTGTATTTTTGTATCCCAGACATGGTCAGGCTGGCTTGGGAAAGTGCAGTGTGCCAACGCCGAACTTTCACCCAGTGGTCCCATATGTGATGTGCAGAAGTAGTCCAGTGTTACTGATGGTAATAATTGAAGGAGGCAAGACCAGCAGCAGGCCTAGGACACCTTGAAATAGGTTGGGCTTGGTGTTCAGATCCACCCCAGAGGTGCTGGTCCTGTTCACCTTGGGACAGAGCATCTCAGGCCTAGCCTGGAAGGACTGTCCCTCTAACTTGTCCAGAGAGGGTGCCTATCTGCATAGGGCTCCCACTCCCTCACTGATGCTCCAGCCCTCACTTCCGGGAAGCCTTCCTGGCTTCTCAGCCATGGTGTGCCTTCCTCTGGAGTTGTGCAGCCTCCTTTGTGTTTCCTGGCTGCCAGCTCCTCTGGGAGCTCCCAGGCAAGGCCTGGGCACCTCCCATTCCTGTCTCCAGGCCTAGTGGGGAGGAACACAGTGGATGGGGACTTACCTTCTCCCTCTGGGGCTGGTACAGCCCGGCTGCTGAGGACTGGGATCAGAAAGGCTGGTGCTTCCCCCATCTGGCCCAGCCCTTGGCCTGTAAGTTCCAGGTGGGGTGAAGGTGTGGGGGCAGGAAAAGACTGATCTGAGAGGCCAGGAGCAGGGTCCTGCTACAGGACCAAAAGCGGCTGTGAGTGTAGGGCCCCCTTTCCTCTCCACCTTCAGCTTGCTCTCCAGGGCTCCCTCCTCCTCCTTTGTCCTCTGGGGATCCCCAGCCCGAAGGCTGGCGGGGTGCAGGAGGAGGCGGTGTGAGCCCGGATTGGGGGGGGTGTCCTCACCCCCCTCACTGCACGAGCGAAGGGCTGGCAGCTGCCCGCCTCCTGGGCACGAGCCCGTGCCAGCCGCTCCTGGCACAGTTGCTGGCACGCCCGGCAGACTCCCACGGCCACCTGCTCACACCCACCCACGAGCGCTGGCGCGCTGCGGGCCCTTCCGGCTTCCCGGGCCTCCTGGCGCCCCTCCCCCGCCGTCTTGCCTGAGCCCCCGCCCCAGCGTTTAGCTCCTCCACTTGGACCCCCACTTTGCTCACCCCTTGGCCCCGCCCTGTGCAACTTGGGGAGAGCACGGGCATGACCCGCCTTGGGGGCCTCAGGGCAGCCGCGCCTTGGGGGGAGGGGGACCGCAAGGCAAGCAGACAGACCGACAGACAGGGTGAGGGCCCCGCCTGCCACCTGGCGCCGCTCCAGCGGGACGATGGCGGGCAGCGCCGTGCCAGGCGGTAATTGCAGACAGACTAATTTAAAGAGATGAGACGGTTATTTTTAACTCGCGTTAAGGTAATGAACGGCGCGGGGGGGGGGGGGGAGTTGTGGGTTCGAAAGTTCAGCGCCCCTAGCCCCCTGCTTTCTGTGGGTCGGAGCCCCCCTCTATGCCTGGCCTGCGGGGTCCAGCCTCAGGACTGACAGGGGTGAGGTGAGGAAGGCTGCTGAGAGCAGGACAGGCCCCACCTGAGGTGGGAGGGCTGAGAGGGAGAGGCAGTGTTCCCTTGCCTAGGGCTTGTCTCACCGGGTCCTCACTGCTACCCCAAAGAGGGTTAGTGGGCTAATGATCCTGTCTGCAGGTGGGGAAGACACTTGCTGTAGCACGTGGCAGTCCTGAAATTGGCAGTCCTAGGACTTGAACCCCCCCTCCCCCCCGAAACTCCAATTTTTTTCCTGTGGCATTGGGTATGACTAGGATGGGTTGCTGGAGGGAAAGGCTTGAGTTTGGACTGCGGAAGGGTTGGGGGTTTGTTCCTTGCAGCCCACTTCCGAGGTCTGAATGGCAGCTAGTGATGGGCTCCACCTAGGGTGCTGGGGTTTGTCTGTATTTGGGACAGCTGATGGGATGACTGTGGGCACTGTGCATACCTCTGAGCGTGGGATAGGGGCCCTTGTGCTGTGTCCAGAGCCCTTCCTCACCTTCCTGCTTCCTTGACCTCCAGGTGACTTGCCAGGCTTCTCCCTGTGCCGGTTAGGGCCCTGCTTCCCGCTGGAGGCTGTGTACCTGGGAACCTGGGAAAGAGGGGAGTATGGGGCTGGGACTCCCTCCACTTTGGGGCTCACTCTCCA